CAGGGTTTCTCTGTGTAGCTTTGCGCCTTTCCTGGAACTCACTTGGTAGCCCAGGCTGGCCTCGAACTCACAGAGATCCACCTGCCTCTGCCTCCCGAGTGCTGGGATTAAAGGCGTGCACCACCAACGCCCGGCTCATTTCATTTTTGGAAACAGGGTTTCTCTGTGTAGCCCTGGCTATCCTGGAACCAGGCTGGTCTCGAACTCAGAGATCCGCCTGCCTCTGCCTCCTGAGGGCTGGGATCAAAGGCGTTTGCGCCGCACTGCCAGGTTTCTGGTCTTGTTTTCTTGGAGTCTTCTCACAAGCACCCTGAATTCTCCTCACCTGACTCCGTTCTTGGACTGTGTTCCGACATGACTGTGTGCTCACTCCTACGGGCCTGGTCCATGGAGTTCTGGGATCAAGTGTGCGGTGTCTCCCTTGGCAACACATCAGCTCGGTTCTCCATCCTTGACCATACATTGTCGTTTTCCTCGCTATCTCGTCCACACGCAGCCACAACCCCAAAGTCAGCTCACATATGCACGAGAGAGTCAGCTCACATATGCACGAGAGAGTCAGCTCACATGTGCGTGTAGTGAGTGGGTGTCAGATAAACCTGTTACGGGTGCCCCTGAGTAACCAGAGATGGTAGTTATAGTCCAGAAAGGGAACGCTTTTCATTCAAGCCAAAAGAAGAAAAAAAAAAAAAAGCTGATATTTGAGAAACATGAATGAACAAGGAACCCGGTCACATTCTTTCCTGCTCCTGTGACTGTCCTGTGTTAGCCAACAATGATCAAGAAGGCAAGGGCAAGACGGGGTCACCATGACGCCTCTGACTCTCCCTTCTGCCTGACTTGGAGTGTGTTAGTGAGATATGAGCCGGTTAAGACCAGAAGAGGGAAAAAAAAAAAAGCAAAACTAAACAGTTTGACTGCTTGGGTGCAGCTATTTGTAGGAACGAGATACATACGAGGCCAAATGCTCCCACAAGTGGTGAAATTGAAGTTTGTAGTTTGGGAGACTCCACATATGGTGAAACGCTCTTACATTTCCATTTAAAGCTGGCAGTGTCCAAGAGAATCCATGCTATGGGTTCGTCGATCTTCTCTACTGCAAACAGGATAGCCTAAGTAGAGATATCACTGTGCGAGCCCAGAGAGGAAAAGGACGCCTGGATACCTTGCTTTGTTTTGTGTTTCTGAGACAAGGTTAAATGTATTTTCGGCTGACCTCCAACTCTGTGTACCACTGAAGGTGACCTTGAACTCCTGACCCTTTTGCTTCCTCTTTTGTTGTTTGCATTTCGATTGTTTGTGGCTTTGATTTGATTTGATTTGTTTCGTTTGTCTCTTGAGACAGGAGTCTTGCCGTGTTGTCTAGGTTGACTTTGAACACCTGGGCTCAACTAAGTCTCCTGCCTCGGCCATCCAAGTACCTGTAAAGTATGTACCCAGCACCTAAATACCTCCCATGATTCTTTTTCAAAAATTACATTTTATTTATCTGCGAGGGATGGAACGGACTCATATCGCTCTGTAAATGTGGAGGTCAGAGGACAACTTGAGGGCGTAAGTCCGCTCCTTCTACCACCTGGGTCCTGGGGATCAGACTCGGGTGATTAGGATTGGCAGCAAGTACGTTAACATGCTAAGCCATCTTGCCCGCCCTGGTGGTCCTTTTGGAAGGGGCTCTACGTGTGTATTTTGCACTGGCACCTGCAGACTCCAGAACTGGTCAGGGCTGGCTGTGTGCAGACATGAGTACGGGAGAGTTCGAGCGAGAGAGAACTTTGGGTACGTGGCTTGCAAGCTCTGGGCATGGGTCTGTTTCGAGGCTTCTCGGAGTTTGATTCTTATCTGACCCCGACACTTACCCAGCACCCTCCGACCTGGGCTGTTGTTCCGGCTCTGACCAGCCTTGCCTCTCCCGCTGCTCCCTCTCCAGTAAGATGTCCTTTTGTGGATGCAGTTGCCCAGTGCTTTCCCTGACTTCAAGACTGTGTTTTTTTATTTCTTGCAGTCATGGGGCTCTTCCCTCACCAGCCTCCAGGTATTCCTCTAGTTTCTTGCTAAGTTTACATTGATATGATCCAGAAGCCATCCCTGATTGACTACAGGTTTTACAGGAGCTCTGTTGGGTGTCAGAGAATTAGGGGGGCTGGGAGTGTAGCTCAGTGGTGGGGTGTGTGCTTAAGATATACAAGGTCCTGGGTTTAATCCCTAAGCATCAAGAAAGGAAGGGAGGGAGGGAGGCAGGAAGGGAGGAAGGAAGGAAGGAAAGAAAGAAGGGAAGGAAAGGAAAAGGAAAGAAATATTTTAGTCTTTTACGATCTTCCTCTCCTACATTCAGTACAGGACCCCTTGTCTGTACTTGGCAGGACTTGCCTGGATCTCTGGTTTCGTGGAACAGTGGTCTGCCACCAGACCACAGCACACCCCTCTTCCTGTCCCTACTCTGACCTCTCCTTGACCCTTCACTCCTCTCTACCCACTATTTCAGGGCACCCCGCTTCGGTACCCCGATTGCTCCCACCTGAAACATAAAACCTGACTGTCAAATTTCATGTTTTAACATAGATTGTTCTTTTCCCTAAGGTGTCAGCCCTGAAGTTTGCCATGGTCCTTTTGATGGTTTTGTCCAAAGACATACGTCCTACCATAGCTCCTTTGCTGGTTAGCTTTTGTCAACTCAACACAAATTTGTGGAAAGGGGGAGCCTCCATTGAAAAATTGTCTCCATCAGATTGGCCTATGGGTACGTCTGTGGGGCATTTTCTTTATTAATGCTTGATGTAGGGGGGCGCAGCCCACTGTGGGCAGTACCACCTCTGGCCAGGTGGTCCTGAGTGGCATAAGAGAGCAGGCTGAGCATGCCAGGAGGAGCAGGGCATGGGCCTCTACTTCAGTTCCTACCTCCAAGTCCCTTCCTTGAGTTCCCGCCCCGACTTCCCTTAGAGATGGGTTGTGATGAGGAAGTGTAAGCCAAATAAACCCTTGCCTCCCCCTGGTTGGTTTTGGTCAGTGTTTTATCACAGCACCAGAAATCAGATTAAGACAACACACACACACACACACACACACACACACACACACACGAAGTAACAAAGAACAAGTTCTTTTCTCTTTGTTTTGCATTTTTTTGTTTCTAGACAGGGTCTCACTATGTAGCTCTGGCTGTACTGGAATTCACTATTTAGACCAGGCTGGACACGAATTCACAGAGATCTGCCTGCCTCTGCCTCCCAAGTGCTAGTATAAAGGCCTGTGCTTCTATACCCAGCCAAAGCAAGCTCTTCAGAGCAAAACGGAGTGGGCAACAAACCGTTAAATTGTCCAGTGACCTTCCCTGGATTGCGGCCAAAATCCTGCTTCCTCTTACTTGCCTGTGGGCGAGCGTCCTGGCCTTGCTTCTGCCTTTCGGCTCCACTCTGGCTCTGATTTGCTCATCCCTCAGACCGCCCTTCTCCAGTTTCTATTGACAAGGCGGCAGCAAAGCTGTCCTTACTTCCCGTCTCCTTAGGACTTCCTAAGAGGAAGCAGTGTGAGGGCCTCAAAGATGGCCATAAGCTCAAGGGAGCGGTGACTACTTCAGTAAGGACAGAGTGACCAGCATCTCTCAGACTAAGGGTTTTGTTTTGTTTCGTTTTGTTTTGTTTTTGGTGCTGGGACCTACCGTGGGGACTTTTACACGCTAAGCCAGAGCTTTACCACTGAGTTTGGCCCCAGATCAAAGCCAGCTCTTTTATTTATTTATTCTATGGGTACCAGTTTTTGGTCTGCATGTGTGTGCACAGGTCAGAAGACGGTGTTGCATCCCTAGGACCTGATGTTACAGTCAGTTGTTAGCTGCAATGTGGGTACTGGTCCTTGGGTCCAATGCTTTTAACCACTGAGCCATCTCTCCAGCCCCCAATCCCAGTTCTTAATTACTCAAGGGTGGGTCACTCCATGGCAGAACCTCTAATTTGCTTTCAATTTCTCCCTTTGACCAGCTTAGGTAGGATACTCAGAAGAGACCTCAGTTTACCTTCTGTGATTTTCAACAACTTTGAAGTTTAGTGGTTTTTGTTTTTGTTTTTGTTTTTTTTCAGGTAGGGGAGAGGGATACCAAATAAATACCAAATTGTAGTCTACAGATCGAGTTCCAGGGCAGTCAGGGCGGTTACACAGAGAAACCTTGTCTCAAAAACAAAAAATAAATAAACAAATAAATAAAAATAAATACCAAATGGAAGATAAAGAAATCAAGCTTTTCAAAGATTCTCAATAGTTTACTTAGAAGACTCTATGTAGTCCAGCAGGAAAAGCTTTGCCGCATGTCAGCCAAGTCCTGAGTTTAAGCCCTGGTACTGTAAAAACACAACCAAAAGCTTGCTTAAGCCACACTGGTCTAGTTCTCTTTTTCCTCTGTGCTGTCGTAATATAAGCCATAGATCAGGGCCAGGGAGATAGCTCCGAAGGTAGACGCACCTGCTGCTGCCACGCCCAAGGACCGGAGTTCAGCGCCCTACAGGAGATGAGAATCCTTTCAAGTTGTCCTCTGACCTGTATACACTTGCCAAGGTATGCACATTTGACACACAAAATAAATGTGCAGTTTCGAAAAGTCATTTTTTGAATCCCGAATACAGTTAAGATCCCAGAACCCAAAATTATGTGGGCCTTGAGAGAGAATGAACGTCCAAAGGCAAGTGGGGACTAATATTCGAGAGGAAAAAGGATGCGCCAGTGGAGAAGAGGGAGGGAGGATGTAGAGTTTGAGGCCAGCTAGGACTATAAAGGGAAACTTTGTCTCAAAATACACAGGGATGATATAGATGATAGACAGGTAAGTGGGTAGGTAGGTGAATGGATGGATGGATGGAGAGGTGGGTAGGTAGGTAGGTAGGTAGACAGACAGACTGAGTGACTGACTGATAGATGGATGGATGGATAGATAGAGAGGTGGGTAGGTAGGTAGGTAGGTAGGTAGACAGACAGACAGACTGACTGACTGACTGACTGACTGGCTGGCTGGCTGGCTGGCTGGCTGACTGTGTTGGTCAGGAGTTTTGTTGTAGTTTATGGATCAACATTTCAGCCCACTGCCAGTCTGTGGAAGTGCACTGCACTTAAAAAGCTGCCTCCCTGGTATAGAGTTCCCCAAACTGATGGCTTTTCACATCCAGCTTCCGGCCAGCGAGCATCAAGTGACATGCCCACCTCCACATCCCAGCAAATGAACCTGAACCGGGACCTCCTCTGGCCCGAAATCTGAGTCCCAGAGCGGCCCAGCCCCCTGCAAGCGGGCACACACAGGGTTTGCGGCGGCGGCTGCACAGAGCAGGACCAGAGGACAATGGTCCTGTGGGAAGCCGGGCGTTTGTGTGAGCACCCAGGGGGCAGGCGCAGAAACAGGAAGGCCGAGATTACAGTCCGCTTTACAGCTCTTTTGAAGTCGCCGGAGCCAGCTCGGGAAGCCTACATAGGCTGCGAGCGAGCGCCCTGATCAAAGGTCCCTCGGCGGGCTCAAATTAACAGGGAGCTGGCGAGCCGCGCAGCACCTGCCCGCGAAGAGCCGCGCGGCCGCAAACCGGCTCATCTTGTCCGGAGGTGAGCCTTTCAGAAAGCTTGCCCAGGCTGATGGCTCCGGGACTGTCTGGGTCGGAAGGGGAAAGGCGTGGTCTGTTTTCTTTGCACGGAGGTATTTATTTATTTTTGAAGTTGGTCTTTACACCACTTGAGCCCCCCTGGCTCTAAGTAACGCACATCCCCTTTTCAAAAGTAGATGGATGCGGTGGGGTTGGGAGAGAGAGGGAGGGGTTTTATCATAAACTTGCCGGACCCTTCTAACGCACCGCTGTCTCCTCATCTCTATTAAAAGCCGCAGTATTAACAGAAAAAAATGAGTAGAATTAAAGGGTCAAAATAAAACCAGAAACTTACTGGGGGGGGGGGGGGGGGGGAAGGTTGTGGGCTCAGAGAGCTGAGACCTAGGAAAGAAAAAGGATTGAGCAGTTGAGTTGGTTGAGAGCAAAGAGCACAGTGAAGGAGTTCATTTTGCCAGACTACGTAGTTCATGAGACTTAGGAAACCCAGAGGATGTATCAGTGCCTCCGGAGAGTCTGCTCAAGAAGCAGGTGTGGCCAAAAGGAAATGGAGAGGGGGTCATTTGACAGACAACAAAAAAATAGAGGCGTTTAGAAAATTTGTAAACGATCTTTTGCCAAGGCAACTCCAAAATCTTTGAGAGTGTAGGGTTTTGTTTGTCTGTTGGTTTTGTTTTTCTCTCTGCAGGTCGTTTGATTTCCGGCCCGGCGCGCACACACGGTGTGAATCTGCGGAATCCGCTGGTGAATGAGGGCTCACTCAGTTACAGCCAGCTGCTGCAGACAAGCTAAATTCAAGGGAGTCGGCTTCCTCCCCCTGTACAGTAGTAACACCTCCCACTAAACTGTGAAGTCTAAACGACGTGTACATAAGGTACTCAATAAAATACAATAATGTAATAAATGGCAATATAAGGTGTTCAATAAATATTATACTGTTGCTTATAAGTTAATCTGACTTTGTTTCTATGTTTAATATATGTAGTATTGGGAATTGAACTTTGGACCCTATGCAAGTGCAGGATCACTGAGCCACACCCCCAACTCTTAATTTGACATTTCACTGCTATCCTGGATTTACAGAAGATACTAGAAAAATTCTACAATTAAAAGTTATTTTGAAGTTTATAAAGACTTTACAAAACTTGTGAGAAAAAAAACCATTTTTTTGTGGCATCTTGATCTATGGTATAAATTGTGAAATGATTGGATTGAGCTAATTAACATATCGATTGTTCATTGGAAAATATTAAATAAATGATGTTCTGGATTGTGTAGTTTGCTGTGCACATGGTCTTGGGGATAAAACGTTGTCTGTGTAATACTTATCTCCTTGACTTATAATGATATTACAACCAGATGAATCTGCTATAAATTGAAAATATTCTAATTCCAAAAGGAATTTAATACACTTATCTAGTTTAGAGATTTACTTTATTTATATGTATGGGTGTTTTGCCAGTATGTAGAGGGTGTCGGGTCCCCTTCGAACTGGAGTTAGAGTTAGCTCCCATGTGGGTGCTGGGGATTGAATCCAGGTCAGTGCTCTTAACCACTGAGCCATCTCTCCAGCCCCCACTTATCTAGTTTAGTATGGCCTATCTTTTTTGTTCTTTTGTGGTGTTTTGGTTGTTTGTACTTACTGGGGAGGGAAGCCAAAGCCTTGCCCTTCAAACTCAACTACATTTCCAGCACCTTTTGTTTTTGAGACGGGGCCATAAACCTAGGCTATAACATGTTGAACGTCCCAAGCACCTGTATCCAAAACCTGTATAGCAACACAGTGCTGCACATCAAGGTACCATTTGTTTCATCTAAGTGAGAGCTGTGACTCACTGTGGCTGCTCAGCACGACAGTGTCCTCACCAGCCTGGAAACCATTAGGATCAGAAGTATGAGTTGACTGCTTTCAGATCATGGATAGGTCAAAAACTGCCAAGTAACCATCACGAACTGGCAGCCGTCTTAAAGTAGTGTCCCTTGAGGTGTGTACATTCCAAGACACCTGTTGGATATCCGAAGTCACCAATAGTACTGAATCCTATCACATATAATTGCTTTTTCCAAATTATGTGTGCACAGGTATCACCCTTTATCTTAACTAAGTATTTGTCATGGACCATGTGCAGTTTGAGGTTAAACAGTCAGAATCAGCGTGAACTTCTGCTTCCTTCCTCCAATGTCACAGGTAGATTTGATCTCCCTTAGATCTGACCAACTACAGGATATGATTTTTTTTCTAACCTTACTGGGAACTTTCACTTTTTCACTTACAGAACGATCTTTGTAAACCACTCTTGGGCATATGCTAATTGCCACCATGGCTCACTACACTTGCATCTTTGCCTTATGAACACTAGCGCTGGACGCCATCCGTCCATTCAGGAACTAATGTGGCTACCAAGTGACTAACAGGCATGAGATTTTGTCATGCTCCTTAGAACAGCACAGAATTTAAAACATGAGTTGTTTATTTCTTGAATTTTCCATGTTAATAGTCTAGGTCCTTGTTTGGCCATGAGTAACTGAAACCCTAAGAAAGGTAGATAAAGGGAAACAATAGTATAGATCTGCTTTTTACGGAATCATTCAAATAAATTTCAAATCGAAATTCATTAGAAAGAACTTAAAGCATTAAAATATGATTAGGCCAGGTGACAATAGACAAACAAAACTAGAATAGCAACTGTCCTTGTTTTATTTCAATTTATGATTTCACATTAAAATTTATATGAGAATCCATACCTTTCGGATATATATATCCTATCCATTATTGCATATGTGTATATGCAGTAATTTCAGACAAGAGCTGAATTTATCCCAATACCATAAATTAGAATGATCTTATCAAATGTCAACACATTCAAGTTTCAGTAATTTTATTTATAAATAGTGAGCCAGTGAGACGGTTCAGTGGGTAAAGACTCTCCTCACCAAGCCTTATGACCCAGGTTCCATTAGAAAGAAAGAACTGCCGGGCGGTGGTGGCGCACGCCTTTAATCCCAGCACTCGGGAGGCAGAGCCAGGTGGATCTCTGTGAGTTCAAGGCCAGCCTGGACTACCAAGTGAGTTCCAGGAAAGGCGCAAAGCTACACAGAGAAACCTTGTCTCAAAAAACTTAAAAAAAAAAAAAAAAAGAAAGAAAAAGAAAAAGAAAGAAAGAAAGAAAGAGCTGACTCCCACAGTTTGTGCTCTGATCCCCATATATGTGGGGTGGCCCACACAGGCACACATACACACACACACACACACACACACACACACACACACATCACATTAAAAAAAATTGAAGATAGTGAAATGGAGCTTGAGAATTTTTTTTCTAAAGCAGAAAGCAAGCTGGTCACGCTTCCTAGGGTAACAACTGTCTTCAGAAATCTCCCCACGGTTTCGTTTTACCTACCTGTAAATGCTGTTTGCTAAATGTCTGCCTACAACAGTCTCCTAGAGCTGAGTAAATTTCCATCATGGGATCTGAGTCATGTGCAAGTCACCCACACGCGACCTCCAGGGTTGCACAGGCTATCAGTGTCTATAAAACAACTTCATTCAGAAATCCTATTTCCTTGACATTTGTTAAATCTCTGTTAAACTTGTTATCCTTATTCATCCATTTATCATGTTTCCCTTGTCTGTTGGCTCTGCTGCTGTGACCACTGGCCCAAGCTACCTCCTTTCCTTCATCTGCCACGCAGTTGTTGAACATTCTCTTCTCAGCCTCCGAATCATAAAATTCAGCCCACAGGGCAGTCTATTTTTAATTACAGGTCATGATTTTGAGAGGTCAATACTCAACACATTCTCCCGTTAATGAGCTTAATAAAATCTAAAACTCGGATCTCTACATAGTATTTTTTGTTCTCTGGCCATGTTCCAGAGATACATATTCATTTGGGGGGTGGGGTTAGATAAAAAGGAATGTTACCTTTTTGCAGTGGTTTCAGGGTTAGTAGGGGCTTGGCTTCTGAGGCAGTAACAACCACGTGAATCCTGTCTCATGAGTCCAGTGCCAAACAGCAAATTTATATTGAAACTTTAACTAGCCAGGCATTGGTGGCACACACTTTTAGTTCCAGCACTAGGGAGGCAGAAGCAGGTGGATCTCTAAATTCGAGGCCAGCCTGGTCTACAGAACGAGTTCCAGGACAGTGAGGGAAACCCTGTCACGAAAAATCAAAAGAAAGAAAGAAAGGAAGGAAGGAAGGAAGGAAGGAAGGAAAAACACTGACTTGGGTTACAAAATAATTCTACATCAAATTATATATTTTTTCCAAAATTGTCTATTATCCGAAGTACATTTTAAAAAATAGCTTGGAAAGAGAAGGGCCAACCTTTTTTTTCCTTTATAGACAGCTTCTCGTAGTGTATCCCTGCCCTGGCTGGCCTGGAACTCACTATACAACCAGGTTGGCCTTGAATTCACAGATTGCCTCGTCCCCCTGCGTCCAGAGTGCTGGGGTTAAAAGTATGTGCTACCAAGCCAGACCCAAGAGTACAGACAACTCCTGAGAGAAACAAGGTGTGGGACTTGAGCTCAGCAGTAGAACACCGCAGAACCAACACAAGGTGGGATTTGGTCCTGAGCACTGAGCAGAAGAGAACTAGAGAGAAAAAAAAGGAGAAGGTGGAACCCAGGAGAATCGGGACTTTAGAATGAACCTGCCTCTTCCATGCCAAGCCAATCTAGGCTACATGTAGCACTATCTCAAGAAACTACGGCTAATTTAGGAATTATTCAGGGCAGAGGTTTCCCAGACTCATCTATAAGATATAATCAATAGAAAGTTAAAAAAGAAAAAAGTTCCCATTCCCTGGCCACAATAGTTTTTAAAACTTTCAAGGTGATTCTAATATTCAAGGAAGTGACTAAGGTGGCTGGGAGTGGTGGCCCATGGCTTTAATCCCAGAGGCAGAGACAGGCGGACTCTGAGTGTGAGGTCAGCCCATTCTACATAGTGAATTTCAAGACAGCCAAGGCTACATAGAGAAACCCTGTCCGAACACCAACATCCCACCCCACCCCACCCCAAAAATAAAGGGTCTAAGGGGCCCAGAGAGACAGCTCAGCAGTTAACGGCACTTGCTGTTCCTCTCCCCCCACCCACCCTGTTTTTTGAGACAGCTCTGTGTAGCTTTGGAGCCTGTCCTGGAACTCACAGAGATCCGCCTGCTTCTGCCTCCCAAGTGCTGGGATTAAAGCAGTGCACCACCACTGCCCAGCAGGCACTTGCTGCTCTTGCAGAGGACCTGAGTTCAGTTCCCAGCACCCACATGATGTCTTACTGTTGTCTGTTAACTCCAGTTCTAGGGGATCCGACACCCTCTTCTGAAACCCTTGGAGACCACATATATAGGCAAATTATTTATAAAATAAATCTTTAAAAAAGAAAAAAAAAAGATTTAAGCTTGGTTGGGGTGATGAACAACTGTACTAAGAGGCTGAGATAGGAGAATTTGTCTAAGTCAGCTTGGGATAGTCAACCCAGCCCCACTCCTCCCTCTCCCCACTGATTTTGAGTTTAAAGGGACAGTAACGTTCTAATTTCCAGTAATGGTGTAGTCTTTTCTAGACTAATGGCATTCAAGGTTAACAATTACCAACTGGGAACAAAATATTTAACAAAGATTTAATTGAGTCAGGCATGCTGGCACAAGCCTGTATAATCCTAGCCTTGGAAGCAGGATGGTGAATTTAAGGTTAGGGAGTCAGGAGACCAGATGTTACGGAAAGAGGATGGAGTGATGGCTCAGGTCTCCAGAGGACCAGCGCTCATGCAGAATCTACATCCATGCAGGCAAAAAACTCAGGGATATAAAGTAAGTAAATTCTAAAAATATATATTTTTTTATTTTATTTATTTATTTTTTTGGTTTTTCGAGACAGGGTTTCTCTGTGTAGCTTTGTGCCTTTCCTGGGACTCACTCGGTAGCCCAGGCTGGCCTTGAACTCACAGAGATCCGCCTGGCTCTGCCTCCTGAGTGCCGGGATTAAAGGCGTGCGCCACCACCGCCTGGCTGAAAATATATTTTTTTTAAAGATGTCGTGGAAAGACTTGGGGTGGACAAAATAGCAGAGTTAGGAAGACCTTGGGAAATGCTGTAGTTGCAGGGGCAAGTCTCAGTCTGTGTAGGGCAGAGCACTACCCTCAACCCACTGCAGGGCAGTGAAAGAGTAGGTCCAGACTTCAGCTACAACATGATGTTTAATCCAACCACGAGAACTGGCTGAAGACAAAAATTAATCCTTTAGAGGAATGTCATCGAACTGACTCATCACTCATGTCCCATCCACAATGTCTGGTGTACAGTTAAAAAAAAAAGTTACTGGCCCCCAAAGTTGACCCCTTACTGAAGTAAAAGGCTGCCAACAGAAACTTAGTCTCTCATGACACATTACAATTGGCAGACAAGTGCTTGAAGGCTGTTAATCATAAATAGCCTGGGAGGGAAGACTATGGCTCAGTGGATAAAGCTTTGCCATGCAAATGTGAGAACTGAAGTTCAGAACCCCAGCATCCACCGTAAAAACTAGGTGGGCATAGCAGCCCACTTGTAATCCAAGCACTCGGGCTTGGTGATCCTCAGGGCAGTGGTGGGAGAGGTTCCGGGTTCAGGAAAAAAAAACCTGCTCAGTAAATAAAATGGAAAGTGATTGAGGACACCTAATGTCATTCATTCTCCGGCCTACATACACATCACAAATAGGAAAGAGAGAGAGAGAGAGAGAGACAGAGAGAGAGAGAGAGAAAGAGAGAGCTTACACAGGAATAATACATAATTAATAAGTCAGTGATCACAACAGAATAGACATGACTTTTCAAAAACAAGAATAAAGCTGGGTGTGGTGGTGGACTCCTTTTTAACCAGCGTGCAGGAAACAAAAGCAGGATAATCACTTCAAGTTCGGGGCCAGCCTGGTCTACAAGGTGAGATGGGAGTCTGGGGGCAGCTCAATGGTAAAGGACCAGCAGAGCATGGGTGAGGCCCTGGGTTCTATTTCCAGCAAATGGGAATCTGTATATAAAAAGTATAACAAAATGACTCCAGATAGACCCAACAGCAGACTGAAGACAAAGAGTAAGCTGATAATTAGATGAACTACTGAATTTGAAATATAGTGAATATATAAACCTTATAAACATGTAAGGCAACCTCAGGTGATCTAATATAAGTTTATTGGCATTTTAGGAGAGAAGAAAATAGAAAATGTATTTTAAAAATGAATGGCCAGCCAAGGCTACAGGAGAAATCCTGTCTTGAAAAAACGGAACAAAACAAAAAACAAATGGCTGAAACTTCACTGATTTTACTTACACATCCAAGATGTCCAGTGAACTCCAAGGCAAAGCAAACCAACAAAAATGAATGAAAACAAAAGAAAATCCCACCTAGTCATTTCAGAGTTCCACTGACTAAACAACCCAGCCAAGGAAATGCACTCCATTAAGGAAAAGACAAAAGGAATGACCGCAAGTGTCTCCTCCGAAACAATGGGGACGGAGGAAAACAAATACCAACCTAAAATTCTCCATCAGTGAAAGTACCCTTCCAAGACAGAAGTGAAATGACGTTCAGTTGACTAAAAAATAAAATATTCTCTCCGGGGGAGGAGGGTGGGATGGGGGAGGCTGAGAATTGACTCATTTCACACTCCACTCCTGTAGGAGCGTCCTCCAGTTTAGAAGGAATGACATAGATGTCACTTGAATCTACAGGAAAGAATGGAAGACACTGGAAATGCTAAACCAGTATTATTACGTTTTGTCTCCCACAAAGCTCATGTTTTGTTTCGTCATTTTGAGAGTGGGTCTCACTATGCAGCCTTGGCTGGCTTGGAACTCACAATGATCCCCCTGCCTCTGCCTCTCTAGTGCCAGGACTAAAGGCATATTCTACCAAGCCAGACCAAGCTCAAGGTTTTGGTTTGTTTTAAGCGAAACTTCTATCTGGATCATCAAGCTCACTGTATACAGATGCATGTTTACAGACACAGGAAATCAAAGCAGGAGATTAGGTGAACAGAACTTACTGGAGACTTCAATAAACTAAAGATGCACGTTGTAATACCCACAACAACCACTCGAAACTGGCAGTACAGCTGGGTGCAGTGGTGAATGCCTTTGATTCCAGAGCTTGGGAGGCAGAGGCAGGTGGATATGTATGTGTTCAAGGCCAGCCTGGTCTACTTAATGTGACTGTCTCCAAAAAACACAGCAAATAAACTGACAGTATAGTTCATGACTGACAACAAACAAAAAAACTAAAGACAAAATACTAGATAATACTAATTAAACTGAAATAACGCAAAAATGAAGTCATACAAGGGAGGGAAAAAACAAACACACAGACTACAAATCTATCAACAGATGGCTGGGCATGGTGCTGGAAAGAGATTAGGTGTAAAGTGACCAAACACATTGATTCAAAGGCAGACTAAATTAAAGACCCAATGAGATGGTAAAAAAGTAAACAAATGAAAACCTGTGCCACGTAAACAAACAGTAGACACAGAAGAATCATTTCTATTTGTTTTGTTTCTCTATTTGGTTTTTTAAATAGTTTGAGACGGGGGTCTTAAGTTGCCCAGGCTGGCCAAGCTCCCCACGTAGCAGAGTGTAACTTTGAATATAGGCTGGGTTGACTTATATGTGCCATCTTGTCCAGTCTATGGGAGACAGAACCCAGGGTCGTCTGCACGCTAGACAAGCACCCTGCCGACTAAATTACTCCTCAGCCCCATGAATAATTTTGTTGTAAATCTGGGTCTCAAAAAGTAGCCCAGGTAACTGGGCAGTGGTGGCGCACGCCTTTAATCCCAGCACTTGGGAGGCAGAGGTAGGCGGATCTCTGTGTTTCAGGCCAGCCTGGTCTGAGTTCCAGGACAACCAGGACTGTCACGCAGAGAAACCCAAAAACAAAAACAAAAAACAACAAAAAGTAGCCCAGGATGGCTTCAGCCTTAGGCTTCTCCTGCTTCTTCCATGCTGGGATCACAGGTGTGCCACCATGCCCAGCTGACATGACAGCTTTTGAATGACATGTTTCAACATAATGGCTTGTGTTTACTCTGTATCAGCTACTGATAACTAGGATCTATAAGGAGCTCAAATAAGGAAAACTGCATAAAACATGGGCTTTGGGTCTCATTGACACTTAACCTTGCTCCTTTTTTTGCCAGGGCCTCGTGCATCCCTTGAGGCCTGAGTTACCTCCCTCCCAGCTTTTTATCTTTTGGGTTCTTTTCACTGTTTTTAATGTGTGAGTAACACCTTAACGTGGGTAGGCGGTCAGATTTAAAGCAAGGTTAGTGACCTTTGACCCAGCTTTGACGTAAGCACAACTCCTTACCCACCTTCATTTCGTTTGTACTATGGTCAGGTAACCATCTGACAGACTTTCCCTTCATCTCGTTACCCTTCTGGGTGTTCACCGCCGCCGGTTTTTCTATTTCACTTACAAGGGAACTGTTGGAGTGTTATCTTTTTCTATAGCGGCCGCTTCCACATGTAGGTCAGCTTCACTGTGTGAGAGTTTGCTACTGGCTAAAATCGGCACACAGAAGCTGGGATGCACCCTCAAACTTTGGAGAGTTGGTGCCGTGGGATACAGAGGACAGGGCTTTAACAACAAAGGAACTTCACACTAAGCATGACTTTGTAAGAATGGGTCTGTGGCATGCGACAAGACAAAGGAACACGACTTTGTAAGTAATTTCCTATCCCAACAAACGCCACTTGTACGTGGCACCGTTTTTTTCAAACTTATGACCGTGGAAAGTTTAATAAACTCAGAATATCATCATAGATGGTACTTTCCTGGTCACACTATCGTTCTGGAACATGCTTTCCAAGTGTATCAAAGGTGATTTCTCTACAAATGAGTGCGGCACTCAAATGCAAAAGCCTATCCCACCTGTACCACCAGAACAAATCTTAGAAAGACGTATGAAAATTGCTTGTACTGTTTACTTGTGAAAAATTAACCTACGAACAGTGGCTTGAAGTCTTTCATTTAACACTGGCCTGTCTGAAAGCTGCGGCAGCTCATTACTGAGGGAGCAATGATACCTCACTGCAATTTGCCATTCATCTCTAAGCAAAGACTGAAGGGCCAGCTCCCCCTCCACTCAAGAGTAAATATCACACATCCTGTTTATTCATACTGGTTTGTTGTCCACAGCTCTTCAAAGCAGTGACACACTCCTAAGTCACACTCCTCCCTGCCCCCAACTTCCTGCTCATGGGTGTACCATATTCCTAAGTGCTTCCTTCAAGAAATACTCTTCATTGCAATAACTTTTAAAGAAAATACTTTATTACATCATGAAAAAAAGATATCCAACAACTAGATTCATACTTGCTTGAATCTAAAAAAAAACTGAATGTTTATTCATTAGACTGTATGTGGGCATCCTGTTCCACATGGAAATAGAAAGACACTACGGTTTCTAAGTATTGCACAGTCTGAAAAAAAAAAAAAACATCAAAAAAAGGAGTGGGGAGAAGATCACATGATATTGGGAACCATCTCACATTATGAAAAATCTACCAAGAAACATTTTTAAAAAGAAAACCCTTTGTTTCTACAGTAGCTTTAGTTTGTAGTTCTTGGAATGACTGTATTCCATTGAAGACATCTCAGTAACAGGAAGCTTCGTTTGAGCAATCCCATGTGCAAATATTAATAGAAAAATATATAAAATAATGCATCTCTTGCCATCACCCTGACAATCAGGACCCTATTTTGGAGCACTGTTTTGTCTGAAAAAGGGTTAAGCTGTGAGTTTGGCCTGAAGCTCCATCTCTGCCGCCCGTTTGAGTGCAACATCCACGAGAAGCTGGAATCCGCTAAAATCCTGGTTGAGGTCCGGCGGAGTAGGGGGAGGAGTGTTGAAAAGACCGCTCTGAGGGTTTGGACTCGGTCCAGATTTGCAAGCGTCCTCTGGGTACATGAGAGAGGTGTCTGTAAAGTTGCTGGCTGTTATTTGCTGTACATCTGTGCTCTGTCCCACACCGACCGGCTGGCAGAGAGAGAAGGGCCCATCTTTCAGTGCAGTCACAGTGGTATGGCAGATCACTGATGGGCGAGCCAGAACGGATCCCGGGGAGGAAGGCTTGGGAGACACTGGCCTCCCTGGGGTTGGGTTGGGTCCAGCTGTGCAGGAATGAAACGGGCTCTCATCGAGAGCTGGCATGAAGTTTTTGATGCCCATGGCAGCTTCCACAGAGCTGGCTTCTGAAATCTTGGCCCCACGGCGGGAAATCGTGAACTGATTTGGATCTTTGCCATCCTTTCTCAGCATGTCAGGGAGGAGCCTGCGGCGGGCGTTGATGAACCAGTTGCAGACCTGAAATCACAGGGATCTGCTTCAACACTTTCTCCATGCACTTGACAAACAGGTTCTGAAAACATCCTATGTAGGGTGCCTAACTGACCTCCCGCTCTAAATTCAAGGAGGCATAAAGGGCTTATCTGAGACTGAGGAAGTAGTTCAATCAATGGTAGAACGTTTGCCTGGCATGCCAGGGGCCCAACAACAGCAAATGATTAAAGAAAGAAAAGAAAAGGCTTCGGGATGTGCAAGTTATTGCAAGGCATTTAAGCCACGTCAGCCCGTCACAAGTACAAATGTGCTTTGGATGTGTCACGGAAGCAGGGAAAAGGTATAAAATCTCAAATACTTGCAAATAACTTTAAGGAAGGTTCACCTTTAAGTCTGTTTCAACCTCCTACCTACTGCCCTAGCATTTAAGTTAATCAACTACAGGGAAGCTTTTCCTGTATAAAAGAGGCCACACCCCCCAGTAACTGATTTCTCTCAGTTCAAATGACTGTGTCAACAGACATAACACGAATTACCTCACTGAGGTTCTGTCCTTGTTTAAATATCAAACCAGTTTCCTGGGCAATAGAGTAAGGTTTAACCTCCTTTCCAATACACCTTGCACAGGGTCTTTCAGGCACTGAAGGAAATGCTTCCTGTCAGATGAGTGTCAAGTGTTTCTGTCCTCTATAAATAGCCAATTATTAGCTTTTCACACTATAAAGCTTCAAATGGAAAGATCCTGTTTCTCTCTCTCTGGACTAGGAGACTAGGGAAGAGCTTAATGACACACAGGAATGCTATAAACCGTCTAAGGGTAAGGGAAAAAAGCATATGCATACGCTAGGAACACACCATGGTGGTGGAACTCCGGCATCACAGGGGTGCAGTTCTGGCACTAACCTTTGGCTTACCCCTTACCTGCAGTGTGGACAGGTGTGTTTGCTGGGAGAGCAGGGCTTTCTCTTGCTCGGAGGGATATGCATTGTATCTGTGTTCATACAGCCAGTCCCGCAGGATCTGGACAGACTCCTTGGGCAGATTGCCTCTCCTCCTTCTCTTGCCAGAGGCCGCTGAAGAGGAAAGGTCCAGGGGAATATCCATGCTGTCTTCATCCTCAGTCTCACTGCCGGATGCTGCAACAATGCCTGAGAAAGGACAAGGGCCCACTGTCACTCACTTTTATCAGCAGGGTAACCATCTCAAAGCTCATTTGTTTAGACTATTCCATGTCCTTGTGTTTTCTCAACTACAGAGTGTGAAGTTTTCAGTCTGGACAGGGTCCCCATAGAAAGGCCTGGGGAGTGGTCAGACTATAAACACTCACCCACTTCATCCCCAGTCTTTCTTGCTCTTGTCAACTGAGCTTTAACTTTTTTTTTTTTTTAACATGATGCTTAGAAAAGACAAATTGCACTCGAAGGGAGTAAATCATCACACTCGAAACAGGAAGAGTGCTGGGCAGTGCGGGAATGTACTTCACTACCCTGTCTTTAAGGTCACTGCTAACTAGAGACAATACTCCAGTGAATAAATACATTTTTTCCTTTCATGAAAGGTTTGTATGAAAGCAAGCACCGTACATTTTTATATACTTGGATGTTCCCTTAACCTGTCAATTAGATATGAACTTCAGAGTGCTACCCTACCCATCAGTCTTTAATTCTTACATGACAAAGAAAATTGAATATGCAACCCCCAAAGGAAGCCATTTTGGTGGTAAATACTTTAATCCTACCAGAAATGCTAAGAATTCCCAAACCCTACAGAGTATTTAAATCAGAGTTCAGTGACAATTCAAGCCAGCTGGACTTTTGCAGACATTTTAACATTATTTTGAACTTTAAGTCTTCTCCAACAAATGCCATTAACTCCTACAAGTCGGGCAATGTAAACTTTATAATCTATGAAACTGTGTTTCTGGTTGACGGGAAAAGTTTTCAAAGATGTATCATTTTAAAGCTTTTGTATAGCTTTTTATTCAATCTTAATTGAGTCCCTTTACTGATCCAGGAAATAAAAACAATACTCTTCAGAGTGATACACCAACTCCGTGAATTTTAAAGAATTTTTTTTACAACCTGGAGCAGACTGACTTTGTTGACACATTTTTAGCTTTGGACTGCAGGGGGCAGAAGATGCTAGAAGGCATTCCTACAGGAAAAGCCCAAATCCAACAAAGACAAAGTAAAAGCAAGTTCTAACAAAAGAGGCAGATGATTTTGCAAATTCACTGTAGCTTAAGGCTTAACAAACTGCCAGAAAGAACCACATGAACCCTCCATTTTTAACTGCCACACAATTGAAGGTCCCTTCCTAAAGATGCAATTAATATTTCGAGAAAGAAAAAGTCTAAAGAAAGGGCAATTTTAAAACCGAAAGTGATATCCTTATACAGAATCTGAGCAATTTTAAAAGTCCCATATTGAAATTTGGGTGAAAAACCATTAAAAAAAACCCTTCGATTATAAATGAGTTCCTGTTTCACATTTGCTTTGATAACCAAGGAAATCTCACTTTTAAACATGCCAGGTTAATTGGGTAACTAAAAGCATTTGAATAAAGCAATTTGCTTCAACTCCCCCAACTTCAGAAAAGCCAGACACTCTATTCCCTGCCCCCTCCTTTTAAATCTAGGAGGGAAAAAGTGTGAAAACATGCTCATTGAACAGTTAATTCCCAACTGTAAATTGGTAATAACAAAGTGCTTGAAACAAAAAACCCCTAAAGTCTGGCCTTTGATCTGATCCCTCGGGTGTGACAAGAAGCGCGATCTTTCAGAATAGGTTTAGGGACACAAAACAGGTTTCAGTTAGCCAACACCAAACTGCCACCCCTGTTCATTTGAGAAAGAAAAAAAAGAAAGGAAGGGAGGGAGGATGGATGGAAAGGAGGAAGAGAGGGGAGGGAAGGAGGGAGGAAGGGGGGAGAGGGGGAGAGAGAGAGAGAAGAGAGAGAGAGAGAGAGAGAGAGAGAGAGAGAGAGAGAGAGAGAGAGAGAGCGAGAGAGAGAGCGCCAGGCCCTCTTTACAAGTATTTCCAAAGCATGCACAAAGGCTGAAGGAACAGGAAGTTGGCCCTGGGCGCGCCAGCTGATGTGTTCAGCTCTGCTAGACCACGTTTGCTACTGTCAGGGCTGCTTCCATTAAAACTCCCTCCCGACCCGATCGTGGCTCGACTTGGAAAAACAAAGGCTTTTTTCCTTGTTACTCATTTCCTACTGTAACAGAACTTTTTAAAAGTTTCCCGGTCAGGACTTGTTTCCAATAGTCTTGCTTTGCTTACACTTTGAAAAAAAAAAATGCGGTTGGGGAGGGAGAGGGGTGGGTGTGGGACAGAATCACAAGCCTCTTACTCTACCCACATACAAGGAAATGTTGTTCAGAAAGCCACAAGATGGCCTGTGGATCCCATGGCTCTAAGAAGCAAATCTTGCTTCTTCACTTTCTTTTTCTGAAGCTCTGAAACATCGAGGTTGGGGGTGGGAGAGCTTGGATTTTTAAAGATCGAATGGAGACTAGAAAAAGAATGTGGGGGAAAGATCAAAGGAAAAGTTTAAGAAAAAACAAACTTAACAAGTCTCCCCTTCGGACAAGTAACTCGGATGGAACTTCACACCCAAGTCACTAAACCCACAGCGCAGCGCAGTCCTAAACTGATTCAACAGGCTTGGAGACCCCGCGAGGACACTTGGGGGTGTTCCTAGTCGAGCCGCCTTCCAGCCTGTTCCGAAGCCATTTTTGGAGCTCTTTCGGGCCGTCTCGGCTTTCTATGAAGGCACTTTATTATCAGACCAGTCTTTGTTCTAAGGAAAGTTGAAAGGATGTTCAGACTTTCCTACGGCGGACAATAGGCGGGACAGGTTTAAGCAGTCCTGGCCCAAGGACAGGGAAGCTTGCCCTCCCCTCCCAGGTAGTCTCAGGCAGGAGGAGGCAGGGCAGTGGAGGCTCGCAGGAGAGGGAGGAGCCCGAGGAGAGAGAGCAAGCAGCTTTTGTTCTTTGGAGTTCTTCAACCCTTACTGAAGCCCGCTTGCTAACCGTTCAAGTTAGCAACTGAGCTGGACCGTGGTCCCTAAGGAACCCGAAATGGGGCGGTGCTGTGGCTCACCGCCTCGGGGGTCTGCCCCCGTCCCAGACCATGTGCTGGGGAAGCCTAAAAAGGGAAAGGAGCCCGGGGCAACCTCAGCAGTCTCCGCTCTCTCCCCACCAGAAGCTCTGAAGCGGCGGCAGCGAAGTTTCCCCTCCAACACGTCACCGTTCATTGTTTCCACGAGTTGGGGATTGACTTGCGGGACCCACGCGCCCTGGGCTGGGGACCTCTGATGTTTCCCCCAGACCTTGCATCTGTGGAAGGGGACACCCAGGAGGGTGGTACCTGAGTGGGAGGCTAGTAGTCAGCCCCCCTCCCCACCCACGGAAACCCAGCTTGGCGTTTCACTCAAAACCGAAACACCCTCATGTAGGTGCCGTCGGGACAGAACGCCTCCCACCCGGTCTAGATCTGTCAGTCAAAGGGTGACAGGACTCTGCAGAGGATCCCCAAGCCTTTCCCCAGAATTCAGTGAAACTCTTCCCAACTCTAAGCGCCCCGGCTCTCACTGTCCCAGGATGGAGATGGGCAAGGAGGCCTACTTAACCAAGTACCCGGGGTCTTCATGAGTTCCGTAGTTTCAGGGTCTCCTACGGAACTACATCGGCACAACTCTACAAGGCAGAGAGCGGGGAGGAACCCCGGGGGGGGTGTGTGCGGCGGTGGCCACCGTAACCGTGTTCCGTTGGAACTGCGGTCGTTGGAACTGCAGCCGCGGTCGGGGTCTGAAAGAATGTGGAGTAACAAACTCGAGGAAGCTCTTGGGCATGCGCAGCAGCGCCCCCCTCTCGCCAGCTTCCCCAAGCGATTAACTTCTGTTTTGAACCACTCCACATAAATCACAACAGAAAAGCCAACTCTAGTCCACGACTGAACACTCGAGGGACCTCCCAGTCAGGGACTCCAAAGTTAGCTTCAAAAGGGACTTCACAGGCTTTTGACCTTTCGGGGTTTTTTTTTCCCCCCCTCCCCTGTGTATTTTGTTTTTAAATCAGACTGACGGCAAGTTTTAGTTGTAAAGCTTGGTGGAAACAATGACAGTCTCGCTCTTTGCACTTACAACCAAGCCTGCTTGTCACACTTGGACACATTTTGACTGCATGGTACTGGTATTCTAACAGCTCACGCTGTCCTAAATTCATCGTGGGAAAACTTTTAGAAGCTAGTAATTTTAAAAGTCCAGCTTTCCAAGGCTATGCTCACCCTAAGACCATGTGTGGGTCCGGGATCACATTCCTTTGACAGTGAAAAAAAAAAAAAAAAACAACAACCCACATCCCTAAAAACAGTACCAGGGTATGGTGAGCAGTGAGAGCACCCGGAACCGAACTTTTAGACAAAAGGTAAGGCGGCTGGAATGCGCCAACGACCCCCCACAGGGAAAAGCGAGGTGTGAGGGTCTCCTTAAACACCCACCCCACAAACCCTGTCCCAGAAACAGCACTAGAAACCACGCGGCTGGGCCGAGCATGGGGTGTCAACGAAGACAATGAAACTTGGAGGCGCACAAACAAGGCGCTGAGCGTGTTTCTTGACAACATGCCAGCAGCGTGGTGAGGCTGTCTCCCCACAACAGCCCCTCGTGTTGTGTCTAGAAGGAAAGGAACAGCAACTGCCATTTGAGACACAGCCTCAACAAAGAGAACGGCCACCTCTCCAAGCCCGGGTGCCACCGGGCGGAAAAGTCCACCAAGTCAGTGCCCCCGATCGAGCGCGGCCCGCACATGTCCCGCACTGGTGCCTCGGGAGCTCACAGCCCGCCCGCAGCCTTACCCTTTTTGCTTTTCATTCTGGAACTCGCGTCCCAGCGAGAGGTGAAGCTGGGGTTCCTAGGGGCCAGCAGTCGGAGTGGCGGGGGGGGGCGGGCGATGATCCTCCTTTACTGGCGCTCTGGTAACTTACAGGAGAGTATTCCAGCCACTATTGCTAAACAAGGTGCTTGGGTCCCAGGCGCTGGCTCCCAGGGTTGGAATTCAAGTGACACTTGGGCTTCCTCCAGCCAGGATCTTCTGGCAGCCAGCCGGGGGCTCTCCCTGGCCCAACTCACTCCCCTCCCTACTCAACTCCTTTGTTTCCCGCTCCACTCCGCGCACCTCGGCGCTGTCAGAGTGAGAGAGCAGAGGGAAGGTACAGGAGGTCCTGCCTCCGCCCCCAGCCGCCCGCCCAGTCCCCCGCCCGCCCGCCCCGCCGCTCCTCTGCCCCTCCCCCGCACCTTCCAGCTCAACAGCCCTGGTCCGGGGGGCCGCGGTCACCGGTCCCTCTCCGGGGTGGCGGAGCCCACAAACAGGGTCATGCCCGCCTGCCTGTAGCACTAGTACGGTCCCCATCCCTCAGCCCTCGGCGGCCACACCAGTGTCTCCTTAGGGAGGCCTTTCCTCCCGGGTAAGAGTTTGCATTTAGTTTGCAACAGATGGGGAGAGGGCTAAAGACACCCCCTCCTCTCCCCCTTTGTCCACCCCAGGGAAGAAAGGACACCCCCACCCTTGTTTTTGACAGCTGCCCCAAACTCCACTTGTCCCGGCTCCAGCCGCAAGAGGCAGCGGCTTCTGATTCAAGGGGTGGGGCACCAGAGGAAAAGTATTCCGGACAAGAACCAACTTCTTCCAGAAGGCGCAGCTGCCATTGACACGCGGGCGCGGCGCGGCGCACCCTTCTCCTCGTGGACTCTTCTTGACAGTGGGAGGTGTGTGTGTGTGTATGGGGTGGGGGGAGGATGAGACACAGACACAGGCACACTAGGCGAATGTCTGTTCCCCCGGGCTCTGAGTTCCGGATTGGATTGCAAGGCAGTTTCGAAATCTAACACGTTGCGGATAGACACTTGTCATGCTCACATGCTCTTTAAATGTCTCGGCTGGAGGACGACCGGGGCGCACACTTTGCGCCCCGCTGCGACCACCTTCCCACCCCCATCCCCCACCCCCCGCAGCTACGCCTTTATATTAGAGGGGTGATCACGCCGGAGCTGCTCGTCCGTTTCGGTAAACAGTGTCTACTTTGTGGGCTGCAGTCCCCACCAGAGGATACCCTCCTCCACCCTTCAGTATTTCAAACAGAAACTAGCCATTAAGTACACACTCGTTCCTATTGGTTTATTTTGCTTGAGAGGGGAGCTCCAATAGGCGTTCCATGCTGAATAACCCCCTCCCCAAATACAACCCAGATGCTGATTTGGCTGACTTCAAGACGCGCATGCCCGCACTTCTGGGTCTAGTTTTCACTTACGCCCGATTGTAAAAAAAAAAAAAAAAAAAAGCAAAGCAAACCAACTGTCACATGTCACAGAAGACTTTCCCCATTACTTAAAAAAAGAAGAAGAAGAAGAAAAACCCCAAACGTAAATAAGCCGAGCAGCGACGTCAGTGCTGCTTGCTGGCTGTCTCCAGTTTTGGCTCTGTGGCTGTTCTGGTTTTGTGACCTCGGTGGAGATCCGGCAGGAGGCATCCCGGTGAAAACAAGGTTAAAGCCGAGTCACACCAAGGCGGCCACAGGATGACCCGCTAGACTTTGGAGTCTGTTTACGATGACGTTGGAAATTAAAGCAAGCCTTCGCCGCGCCCCCTTCCCAAAGACAACCCCTCCGGGGAGCGCGTTTAAAAACGCAACGTTAAAGAAGCTTGGGTGGTTTTTTTTTTCCCCCAAAATGAACCAACTGCGCGAAGCGTCCCCGGTAAGGCAGGAACCTTAAAAAACCACCCCCACCCGGCGCGCGCCCCCGGTGGTTTGCAGAGTGCACACGCGGAAATCGGCGCAGAAGGCGGTTGTAGGACCGTGTCCAGGGGAGAACCCACCGCCCGGGGCGCAGCGCTTTCCGGGACCTGGCTGGCGATGACTCAGCCGCTGCGCCCCGGTGCGGGGTTGATGTGGTGCGGGGAGGGGGCGCCCGTTGGAGGGCCGCCTCTCTCTGCTTTTGAAGGGTTGTTTGTGGCTGGGATTGGTGGCTCACATCCGTTGGGGGGGACTCTGGAGAGGAGGGAGGAGAGACGCGAGGAGGAGGAGGAGCTGGGCCGTGTGAGTGGCAGGAGTCCCGTCCCCGGCCCGGCGGTGACTGCTTGCTTAGTCGCTTTGTTTGCTAACTTGGGACCGTGGCTTCGGGGCCGCTCGACGGAACCCGCCTCGGGTCGGCGAAAGCCAGCCGCGGCGGCGCGAGGCCGAAACGTTCCTTCCCCGGCGGCGGCGGTTATCCGCGGCCACGCGGTGCCGCTCATTATGTACACAAGGTAGCTTTTCTTTGCTCCCAAGTCGGCCTGGCTCACGAAGGCGATTCTCCGGCCACAGAGATGGGAAACCGGGGTGGACGGTTTGAAAACAAACTTTACAGGGCGAGCGGGGAGGGGTGGAGAGGGAAGCAGAAGCCGCTTTCAAACGAGGAGGGGAGGAGGGGGAGGGGAAAGAAATGGCAGAATGAAACTCACCGTGACGCGAAGGCCAGCTGGAGCCCGCCAGTGCACACCTTCTGCTCGTGTAAATCATTTCGAGGCCGTTAGGAAGCGGGAACGCGCGGGCCGGATTCTGTGATCAGCTGGAGCCGTGCCCCTCCCCCACCGCCACCCCACCCCACCCCACCCCTGGGGCCGGAGCCGAGCTCGTTAGGAGCCTGGCATTCCTGCAAGGACTGTGCGCCCGCTCTGCACAACAGCTCCGGGACAGGCAAACGACCCCCCAACGCGAGCTCGCAACACCCGCAGTATTTTCACATCCGCTGTCTGCCCCGCAGAAAAACAAGCTTCAGTTCTGGCTGTGTCCCTCTCAGCGTCTCGGGGCCTTCTCCGCGTCACTGATTCAATTGACTCGGGGTTAGTTGTTGTTGCCACGTGTTATTTTACTGGATTCTTAAAACGCCTCTCCATCGAAATTGCCTAAGTTCAACCGAGAGGTGGCCCTGTGCTCTCAACAACCTAGCGATAAACGTTTCCCATCAGTATGTATGTGTTTATTATGTTCTTTGCGATACACGCCGTCCCGTTTGGTGCCTTAAGCCAGGCAGAGTTGTTAAAAAAAAAAAAAAAAAAGACAAGTTAATTGTCGCGGTCTGCAGACCCTGAGCAGGCAGAGATTTCAAAGGACGCAGACTTGGGAAGGCCGAGAGAAGAGGCCGGTAGCCGTAAGTGTAATTGTTACTATTGGCCCCAGGCCTGTCAAACGATTGAGGGAGGGGTTGGTTTCATCTGGACAGCTACTTAGGTTTGATTGCCATCAGGTGCCTGACCGGGTCGGGGGGAAGGCTGACTCACCTAGTCATCGGATCTCTTTGGCTTGCAGCTCAGCAGCAAGGGTATTATTTATAAAATATGCAGGCTGCTGGGCTTCAAACACCGCACTGGGGACCTGTATCACCTTGTCACATCTCAGGTCTGAGGAGCTCTGGCTGCTCACCATTGTCTTTTCAAGCCCCCGCCCCCCCCAAGGAGGGTGACCCCAGCCAGCCATCTTGCGGGGTGAGTTTATCAACATTATCAGGATAATTCTCTTCAAGTATGAGTGTAAGTAGCCGGCCTGGCTGCGTTTGTTTTTGGTGGTTTTCTACCAGTCAGCACAATCCCCACCCCCCCACCCGTTCTTATCCCACAGTAGAAGTCACTTTTATTTACCTGGGTGATTTAGACCGAAGTTCCCTGAAAAAGCCACACCGTGTTGTTTCTGTGGACTGGTGGTGCGATTAAAACGTCCTGGGGAGAGAGTTGGAATGATACGGATCCAGAACCAAATTATCCCCATGTATCTATCTAGTCCCGTCCATAGCCATTTATCATCACCTACCCTACTTTTGATTCTCAGTTAAAATCTTTAGAAGGTACAGACATAGCAGACCACCAACTCAGCGGCCACAGACGCCATCAGTGTTGGAGACTTTCCCGGTGCTGCCCTAACCTTCCTCCCTTGGTGGGGACCAAGGTATCTGGTGCATTCCTTTATAGCTTAGTTTGTGACAACGGCCATCGTGCAGCCATGTCTCTGAGGTCCACCCAAATTCAGGTTCCCTGGGCCACGGTCACTTTCGGCTCAGAATAAATGATCTCTTACCACCTTTGGTACGAGATCTCTGCTTTTCCTCCAACGATGGCCCTCAGAATCTAGGGGACAGACAAAAAACTAACTCATTGAGCCCAGTCTTTATCCTTTGCTTTCAACATGTTTGTTTCGAGACAGGGTTTCTCTGTGTGGCCCTGGCTGTCCTGGAACTCACTCTGTAGCCCAGGCTGGCCTCCAACTCACAGAGATCCGCCTGCCTCTGCCTCCCCAGTGCTGGGATTAAAGACGTGGGCCACCACCAAGCTGCTTTCAACATCTGGTATCTTCATTGTGCTTCATAGCTTCTGAAACATTTAAACGCTCTCATTTAGTCTCCAAATTATATTTTTCTTAAAGTCAAGATAACTCGAACAACACATTCAAGTATGATGTAGCTAAAAGACATAAAACAAGGTATTGGGCATGGACTGCCTGGCTGTCAAGGAAATCCTGTCATTTTGGAAGGTCCAAGTTTGACCTAAGATCAGAGACACCAAGATCTCCATGCTGGAAGTTACTAGATTTTTACCCCGTGTGCTTTTTCTGTTCACTTTTCCGTGTGTGTACGTGGGGGGGTGAGGGTGCACATGCTTCATGTTGGGAAGCCAGAGCAGTATCTTTCTCTCTCTCTTTTGGCCTTAGTCCCTTGAGACAGGGTCCCTTCCTGAACCTGAAACTTGAGGGTTCTGCAACCAGGCTCTCTGGATCCACCCATCAACTCCGGGGTTACAGGCGCCCACAGCCATACCTGGCTTTTACATGGGTGAGTCCTCGTGTTTACACAGCAAGTATTTTCAGCTACTGAACCATCCCCAAGAGTCTTTAACTTTCTCCTTCCTTCTCACCGAAGGTTAATCCATTCACATGTTTTTATCATATTATCGCTGTAGAGGAACCATTTATAATAAGTCGAAGTATCTAGGAATAAAATTAACAGGAAGTGCGTCCAAGGTTTACTATGAAGGCCCTATTGAGGACCACCAAGGGAGACGGGAGGAGAGAGGCAACTTTTCCCGGTGAGGTTCTGACAGAGAAGAGTATGTGACATTTGCTCTCCCCGAGTCTTCCTTAAATTCAAAGCAAATTCCATAAAATAAGTTATTTTTCCGTTTTGTATTTCAACCGCCAGCCAGTGCTACAGCTCATGTAAATTAGCAAAGGGGGCTTTAGGGCAGCGTGGACTTTTTTTTTCCTTCAGAGCTGAGGACCAAACCTAGGGCCTTGCGCTCTACCACTGAGCTAAATCCCCAACCCCTTTTTTGTTGTTTTGTCTTTTTTTCTTTTTGAGACCTTGTCAAAAAGCGTTTTTGGCCGGGCGGTGGTGGTGCACGCCTTTAATCCCAGCACTCGGGAGGCAGAGCCAGGCGGATCTTTGTGAGTTCCAGGCCAGCCTGGGTTACAGAGCGAGATCCAGGACAGGCACCAAAACTACACAGAGAAACCCTGTCTCGAAAAACCAAAAAAAAAAAAAAAAAAAGCGTTTTTGTTTGTTCACTTTCTCAAGTGCAAGGAAACCAGAGTAATGGTTACAGACACGGGAGACACAGACGTCAGTTCAAGAGGAGCTCACGCAAGCCAGGCGGTGGTGGCTCACGCCTTTAATCCCAGCACTTGGGAGGCAGAGCCCCTGTCTCGAAAAACCAAAAAAAAAAAAAGGAGCTCAGGCAGCTGTAAGAACAACCTGGTGTTAAGTGAGGAGGGCTGGGGAGATGACTGGGAGGGTGAGGGCCCTTTTGCTCTCGAAGAGGACCTGGTTCAGTTCTTGGCACCTTTATCAGAAGGCTCAAAACCACCGAAGTCCAGCTCCATGGGATCTGATGCCCTCTTTGTCTCCTCAGGCACATGCATGTGTACACACACACACACACACACACACAAATACTTTTAAAGTTTGACAAATGAATCTACAGGTTAGAAGTTTACAAAAAAATTAACAAAAATAATCCAAATAACAAAAAAAAAATGACATAATTTGCTGCCGATGTATCACAAGGTAGAGGAAGTCAGCCTGATCATCAATTAACAATGGTAATACCTTCTGAAACAGGTTGTTAGGTGATTTCATTATGCGGACATCATGCAGTGTCCTTATCCAAAATGGGCATGATGTCACTGGGCCACTTTTTTTTTTTTTTTTTTAAAACAGATCTCCCTATGTAATCCTGGGTGGTCTAGAACTCACTACATAGGCCAGGTTGGTCTGGAACTCACAGAAATATATCCTCCTCTGTCTTTCCAGGTGCTGGGACTAAAGGTGTGTACCACCACACCTGGCAAGACTATTCAGTCTTATGAAACACACCATGTGGCCCATGACTGTCTGTACACACAAACGCACACACACTGTAAAAACAGTACAAAGTCATTTTTCATAAACATCTTTGAATGCATATTTTGGAATGATTCTCAAGAAAGTATTAAAGGTGGCTACCTCTGGAGGTGCCATGAGACAAAAGGCTGGAGTGGGGCCTATAACATACCATCATGCCATTGTAACGACTGAGTAATAATCCTCCTATGGATTACACGTTACACACCAGTCTCTACTAGTGTATGAGTCTGGGTCTTGTTTGTGTTCGATTCGTACAATCTCCTGAGCAAAGATCTGAAGTGAGAGTCTGCTGTGTTTAAGGCTCTCCAGTTGGATTCTCTGTCCAAGAGCCGGTGGTGGTTAATCATTAGCCGGTGTGAACCCCTAATGGCACTGGGAACTATTCATTGCCCCTTACAGGAAGCGAGAACAAATGCTTTCGTAGCCTGGGAGTAGGTGATCAGAATGTGAAAAAATTAAAAACATTATCATCTCTATAGACTCAGCATCATGATGTGTGAAATAGGGCTGCGTCATTTTCATCAGAAATAAACTAATAAATGAGTGAGTGAGTCAGTGTGCTCCTCGAAAGGCAGGAACTTAGTTAATCGAAGGCTTTCCAGTCCAGCGGTGTGCGTGTAAATGAGAGTAATCAATTGTCTCCACAGGGTGTCCTGTAGAAGCCAAGGAAATTCCTTCACATTTTCTTTTTTCTTTTGTTATTTCAAGACAGAGTTTCTCTGTGTAGCCCTGGCTGTCCTGGAACTCACTCTGTAAAATTAGGGTGGCCTCAAACTCACAGAGATCCGCCTGCCTCTGGTTCCTGATTGCTGGGATCAAAGGTGTGCGCCACCGCTACCCAGCCCTTCATATTTTCTTGAAAGACAGGAATGCTTATTCCCTTCCAAGCTACGTGAATAAGTGTGGCTTTTTTAATATTTATTTAATTACTTATTTATTGTAGTGTTGGGGGCTGAATCCAGGACTTCCCTGGTGCTAGACAAACACTGACCATTGGGCTACACTTCAACCTTAAAACTTGATTTTAAAACTCTGGCATCTATTATATATTATTTACTGTACTTGACGTACAAAGATTGGTATATTGCATTTTAGTTTTACATTTTGAAAGCCCTCTAACATATTTAAAAAGTACATAACATACATGTGTATTCTTCTTAAGGAGAAGAAATCGCCGGGCGGTGGTGGCGCACGCCTTTAATCCCAGCACTCGGGAGGCAGAGGCAGGTGGATCTCTGTGAGTTGGATGCCAGCCTGGTCTACAGAGTGAGATCCAGGACAGGCACCAAAGCTACATAGAGAAACCCTGTCTTCTTTTTCTTCAAAGACAGATTTTCATGTAGTCCAGGCTGGCCTGACACTCCCTAGGTAGCTGAGGGTGGCCTTAAACTTCTGATCCTCCTGCCTCCACCTCCCAAGCGCTAGGGCGCCAAACCTGTGCCTATTTCTTTTTAATGTGGAACTAGGGATCAAGTTCAGGACTTCCCACATGGGAGGCAAGCACTTTACTAAGTAAGTTACATTTCTTTTTTTTAATATATGTGCTTATGTGTTTGCCTGTGGGTACATGCACAAAAGTGAAGGTGTCCT